GTTCCTCTTTCCGCAGCCTGAGCTGCTAAATCACTCCCCACCTCTTGTGAAACCTTGTCCTACTCCACTCCCTGTTCCAGGCCTTCCACACTGGCACCAGCAAGATCCAGAAGAGGCAGGTACTATCCGCTCTTCTCCCCTTCCCCACAAACACACACACAGCTCCCATTTGCCGTAGGAAGGAGGAAGCACAAGGTAATGCTGGGTTTCCTCTACTCAACTGGGGGCAAACTGGAAGCCAGAGGGTGGGAGGACACTCACCTTGGCTGGCGTTGTTGAAATGGTTGTAATACTGAGACACGTAAGTCATGATGCTGAGGCAGTCAGGGACTTTCATGGAGACCATGTCATTGGGATCTAGCAGGGCTGGGATGCCCAGCTCCCGCTCTGCCAATTCAAAGGCCTGCAGAAACAGCAGAGAGAGGCATTAAGGAGAGAAAACTGATGCTCTCTGAAAAATAACACAGAAATCAAGTTGGAATGGCCCTGGGGAAGGTTAAGTAGTAAGCCTATAGCACCCCTGACAGACAGAGGCTCCCAGACATGTCACTTTACCAGAAAGGTGGCAGCAGAAGCAAGGGAAGTTGCTGCAGCTGCCCTTTCCTCAAAGTCATTTCAGCTGCCTGTGCCCCTGCAACTCCCACCTAAGGGGTCTTGGCATTTGGCTGCTGCACTGGGACAGGGAGGGTACCTCTCAGGAGGTCTCAGTTTTCACTGGAAAAAAAAAACCCAGTGTTTTTCAACCCGGGAAATGGGCGCACCACAGTGCCCTCACACAAGAGCCCGACAGAGCCTTGGCTGGCACTGTGAAGGGCCTAGGGCTGGCAGATACTTCCAGCGACACCGCGAAACATCAGCTCGTCTGAGCAGTGTTCCTGGCCACCCCAAATGCTCACTCCACAAAGACACCGACTCTGCCCATCCTTTCATGCTCCAGGGTGCCACATCTTCCCCTCCCACAAGAAAGGGAAGTTGCTGCAGCTGCCCTTTCCTCAAAGTCATTTCAGCTGCCTGTGCCCCTGCAACTCCCACCTAAGGGGTCTTGGCATTTGGCTGCTGCACTGGGACAGGGAGGGTACCTCTCAGGAGGTCTCAGTTTTCACTGGAAAAAAAAAAACCCAGTGTTTTTCAACCCGTGAAATGGGCGCACCACAGTGCCCTCACGCAAGAGCCCGACAGAGCCTTGGCTGGCACTGTGAAGGGCCTAGGGCTGGCAGATACTTCCAGCGACACCGCGAAACATCAGCTCGTCTGAGCAGTGTTCCTGGCCACCCCAAATGCTCACTCCACAAAGACACCGACTCTGCCCATCCTTTCATGCTCCAGGGTGCCACATCTTCCCCTCCCACAGTTAGCACAGCCACTCCAGCTCAACAGCCAGCAGCCTGCCACGCACAAGCCACTTCAGCGCTTTTCTGTGTCTCAGTGAGCAGAAAGGACAAGGACATGGTGATAAGCACGCAGCTCCTGCAACTGCATACATGGCTGCTTGAAAGGAAGGAGTGAAGGAGGAAAATAGCTGCTTGAGAGCTTCCCACTTAGCATTGTATGTGGATTACTGTCTCTACACTGGCCATCCCACTGTCGTGCCAAGGGCAGCATACCCATATTGATCTCCAAGGGAGAGGGGGGATGCAAGACTACAGCAGGAACCAAAGAGAAAGCGAGTCAGGAGGGGATGAGAGTGGTGTGGGCACCGAATGGTGAGGTACCAGGTGCAGGGTGTGGGTAAAGACTGAAGGTGCCTGATCTCTGGGGCACAAGGTGCTGTGCAGGGTGTGGGATCTAAAGAAAAGGAACAGAAAAATAAATGAAAACAGATATTTGCAGTAACTGGGGGTGTAAAATGCCTCTTGTGGATACCCAGCTTTGCTCAGCCTGGCTTTAAGCCTCTGGACTGAGCCTTGCTGAATGCAAGAGAGAGACACAAAGGGACACCCCAGCTCAAGGGTCACTAGTAGGACAAGAAACCCCTTGTGTGGCTCTCAAATGGGAAAAGATAGCTGTTAATGGCTGAAAGGAGCCAACTGGTCTAGGAAAGAGCATGGCCAGGACCCAAGTGGAGAGCCCTAATCCTGAAAACACAAATGACCTAGCTCAACTCGTCTTAGGAAGGTGACAGCCAACGTCTCTCCATGGACTATGAGATGGAGCCTGCAGCAATTAGGTCTTTCTCTCAGCAAAAAAGCCAAAGTTATTGCTGCTCTGTCCTAGTCGTAACCCCTGGGGCTGGGCATCTCCCCACTCTCTACTGCCTGCTTCTGCTGTTGGCTCCAGCTGTCCCAAGCAGGAGGGGAACACTGCTGACCAGCCTAGGCCCAGCAAGACCTTCCTCCCTGCTTATATCTGGAGTAAAACTAGCCTCCTGTTTCCATTGCCTGCAAGTCTGGAACAGCTGAGGTCAAGAAGGTGTTGCACCATTTTAATCTTTCACCTGAGATGTTGTCCTGGCAACTATCAGGATAATCATCTTTTCTTCAATACAGGCTGGAAGCTGATGTTTCAGATTCCCTTATGTTTCTAGAGAAGCTCCTGCCTGTTACTTACAAACACAGATTTTTCTTACACCCTCATCACCATCACGAAATCCTCCCACGCTACATGACCTCTATCAAGTCATACTCATGTCCCGTCTTCCTTCTATGCACTGCACAACGGGGACTTACCAAGCGGTTATTCTCATAGACATCATCCTTGGAGAGAGAATCAAAGTCTCTGAAATGAGAAAGTACAAAAAAGCCACATGAGGTACAGAGGAGAAGTGTCCCAATGCCACCACATGCAGGTTTTCAGGACAGCCAACCTTACAACAACTCAACTTATAAGACAAACAAACAAGACAAACAAAACCTTGGCAAAGCAGCCTTCAAGGTTGTAAAGGGACAAAGAAACCAAAGGGAAATTGCAATTTAAAAAAGAAAGCAAGTCCCAAATGGGTGGTGACCAGGAAATTAAAATGTCATTCTTGTCTCTTGTTACCCGCTTCTTCTGCCCTCACGATTAAAGGCTGCAGAAATCCCAGGGCCACGTTGCGATTAGCACCACACATTGCTGCACTGAAGGGTGCACAGCATCACCCTGAACTTGCCCCTCCAAGTTCACCGGCACAACAGCAGAAGGAGGATGGGAGAGCAGATCCCCCACCTCAAGAGAAAGAGCTGCCTGTGCTAGGTCTCTCCCTCCTATGGGGGCCCTTAGACAAACCTCCTTGCACCACTTGAAGGGATTTGAGGTCACCCCAGGATTTGGGGTGACACTGAAGGTCTTAAACTGCACTTCTGTCCTCGCTTGCCCCCCAATACTTGTAGTATACAGCAAACTGTCCTTGGCCGCAGCCTTTATGGCGAGGCAGCTTGCCGAATGCAAGGCGGTCAGGGTGCAGAGAGGAACCCCAGCAGTTCCCAATCTGGGCACGTGGCATTTCACTTGTTCCCCTGCATCCCTTTGGGGGATCAAATCAGCCCCACCACAGGGATCAAGTAGCTGCCCATGTCAGAGGAGCACAGGGTTAAAGAGGTCTTCAGGTTTTCAACAGAGGGGGAGAAATATAGGACGGAGTTAGTTATGCCTTTTGCATGTGAGCGTGGGTATATTATGTGAAAACAGCATCATGCTAAACTGATTACAGCCCCTGCCTGCCAAGGATCTCAGCTTTGTTACCAAAAAAACCCTCATGCGGCATCTCAGTGTGCCTGCAAGCTGGATTCACAGAGGAGGACACAGCCCAGAGAGGTTTAGGGTCAGGCAAAGCCACCCCGATGACCGAGAGAAAGGTGCCAAAGCCTGGGGGACTGACCCAGATGGACAATTCAGATTAGAGGCAGGGAACGTGTCCCCCACCCCAAAGGTGGTGTGCAGGAATCGGGGGGGATGGCAAATCCTCAGCCACGCGCCTGCAGAGAGGGGCTGCAGGAGCCTCCCTTCCTCCATCCCCCTTTGGATTTTATTGCCTCTTCCTGTAACACCGACCCAACCCGCCCCGGGGGGCCGCACCGCAGGGCAGCCGGCCCCTTCTGGAAGCCCCTTGCGTGCCTTTCCCAATGCTGCAGAGGAAGTCCATGATGAGCTCAGGAAGATTTTCCCAGCTGCCTGCACCACCATAAAATTAACACTTCCTCCGTTCAAAAGCAAGAAGCTGCTGGTGCTGTTTCCTCCCAGATAAAGGAAACTGCAGCCGCTCACCGCCGCTGCTGCAGCAGCAAATGCAGCAGACCCGCAGAAGATGGGCTGGACATTCAGCTGGGTGGTAAACACCTTTCTGAAAGCTCATGCAAATACATGCACAAAACTCAGCCTGTTGAAAATACCACAACTTTGCCCTCTCTACACGCTGGTGAGGAAAGGCTTCAGCTGCAGCTTTTGCTTTGATGTGAAAACTGTGCCTTTTTTGTATTTATGACTAGTTTCCACTGGGAGATATTTTTTCCTGAAGTCTTTTTTTTTTTTTTTTTCCTAGAGAACTCCTCTAACCCTGCTGTATTTTTTTTTTTTCCTTTTAAAGAAAATACCAGCTTGGGAACACAGGAGAAGTAATGACAGCAAAGTTGATATATCAACTGCCCTCTAAACATTCATGACCTTCATTTTGAATGCCCTCACTTTCAGGATATGGGAGTGGTGCAGCTGGAAACTCGAAGACTCCTTGGTGGCCTGGGCTGGGAGAGTATTTTTTGACAGACAAAACATCATGTCCATTCCACTCTGCCCCAGCGAACCAAAAATTGGTTTTAGTAAACCAATGCAAAGCTGGGAAAAAAAAAGCAAGCTGGGAAAGCGGATGCCAGTAGAGAGGACATGAAACTCAAGAGGTAACAGGGGGGTTACCAAGCAGCAAGGGAATAGATTTTTTTTTTTTCCACTAATGTAGGATTGCAGACTCTCAGCTTTTACCCAAGATATTGAAGTCCATCAGCACGAGGCCCCAGGGATCACAATTTATTCAGTTCCCCTCTGCTGCATTTTCCAGCTCCCTCTCCGAACCAGCCAAGCAGGACCACGCTGATCTCCATCACTCCCGACATGAGCGCTCCCACGTGCCGCTCCGTCGCCTGGCATCCCTGCAGCTCTAGGCACGCTCCCTGCACCAACGTGCAAGGAGCACGGCCTCTCAGGCAAGGGGAGAAGTCACCCCAGACATACCTCTTTCCTCTCTACAAACTGCCTCCTCTGCAGAAAGGCCAGAACTTGCCATCCCGCAGCTCTGTGACACGTGGCTGCATGTCACATTATTTCCTTGCCCCGATCTCAACAGCCTTTCATCCAGCCCTGCTCAGGCTCCTCTCCCGACAACGTCCCAGTCCAAGGGGTGGCATGTAAGAACAGGCGAGACTCCGGCTACCCCAGCTGAACAACTGCCTTGGCTCAGCAAACCCCCGCATCGTAGCATATCCTGGAGTAACATTGCCATGCAAATAACATCCCAAGCCCTTACCTAATTAGATACATACAGAGCCACTAAGCACTCCGGGGTTTAGGGCAGCTGCCAGGGAGCACAGCAGACCCAGGGAAGGGGGAAGGGTGTGCTGTACAGCTAAAACCAGAGCAAATTCCTGGATTCCTCAAATATAAATCATGAGTGCTTTAACGGCAGTGCCGCATAATAAGCCCTTCAGCTTTCCAGGTCTTGTCAGGGAAATGCAGGCAGTACATGGGAAGGAACAAATGAGATTTGTGATCTTGCCTGCAACCAAACCCACAGCTCCAGGAACACAAAACAACATTTCTAGTACACGGCTCTCCTCTCCCATTTTCCTCAAGCCTCTGCCTCTCTCTCGGCACTCGAAAGGCATGTGCCATGCTCCCTTATTCTTCTCGCCCCCGAATGCCAAGAACCTCCCCTGAGCTCTGGGGAGGCTGCCACAGCTTGGGACGCTGAAAGATGCTTTTTGCTTCACTAAGCTGCGGCAAATGCCTTGTAAACACTAATTTCGTGCTTTAGATGTCTAGAGCTCTGAGCAGACAAACTCATTAATCCCTACAACCCACTGTCAAGTTGGCCTGGATGCTTCCAGCTTAACTGACAAGGGAAAAGAAGAGATTAAGTGTCTCGCCTTGGAGATCACACAGCCAGCAGTGCAATCAGAGGCTAAATCCAGGTTTCCCATTTCCCTGCTTGGAAGAGTGAAACCAAGCGAGGTGCGTACAGCAGTGGAGCTAGAGTCAGGGACTTTCAGCTTTGTGGTCCTACACGGGTCCCACAGGTACACACCTCATCCTTGGTGGTCAGTTCAAGACATCTTTAGCCGGATTCAGTAGACATCGAGCACTTCCAGTCTACTTCTTTCAAAAAATAAAAAGAACTCCTAGTGTTTCCAAGGGCTCTGCAGAAGCTGCTCCAAAGCTCTCCAGGGGAGCATCCCTCTGATGCCACCTGCCTTATCCCAAGGCAATTGTGTTCAAGTCAAGGGTCACACGGAAAACTGTCCTCAGTCTCGCTTACCCGTACGGCCTTTCACGACAGCCTCTTCCCCAGCGTGTCACCTACCAGCACCGCAGCGCAACAGGGGGGTGTCTGGGCAGCATCAGCCAACTGGGACAGACCAACAGCCACCACAGCAGCAAAAGATTAAGCCTGGAGGATCAGGGTGCCAGATGAGTGGTGCCACACAGTAGGAGAAGAAAGCTTTGGTTTATATGGATGCACTCGTTCTTCCCCTCTGCAGCCCAGCAGGAAGCAGGGAAGCAGCTGAGTATGGAGGAACTTCAGCCTTTGGGGAGCAGCGCGGCTGTCTCACGCAGGCCAGGAGAGCCCCACACAAAGGACGACCACACAAAGCCAGAAACGTGCTCACAGATCTCTCCCAAGTCCCATTACCAGGCTGACTTTAGAAGAAAAGAAGGACAACTACTTTTCCTCCGCCATCAGATTTACTGCCTCTGATCCAATCTTCCCACTTCCAAATCAGGGCAGGCTGAAGAAGCTGGAATCAGATGAAATGATGCTACTCTCCTGACCACCCTCTGAAAATCCTTCTACAGCATGCCATGTCCTTGTAAGGCCCTGGGCTTTGCCTCTACACTACAGCTCGTGCAGAGGACTTGTGAAGCATTTAGTTAGGACATCTGCCAGGAGCAGATTTAAGCCCACTGACAACTTAAGAGCAGCGGCTGCTGCTTAATGGGATGGTAAATATAGGTAGCAGGAAACCATCAGTTCGTTTTATAGGTGTTTATTGTAAGCTTTTGCTGAACCTCTGCTTTTCAGTTTCCAGTTACTGTGCCACTCACCAAAAAAAAAAAAAAAAAAAATTTCAGAAACAGAGTAACTGCAAGTGTTCCTGTCCTTAATTTGCCTCTTCCCCTCCAGCAGCCAGGAACATTTTCAGGGGCTCTATCCTAGCTGGTCAGAGCGAGCTACACCAGCAAGGGCCACAAGACCATGCAGCAACTTCAAGACCCAGAGCGATGCAAAGCCACCGTACATCTTGGCTCTCAGTGGTTGCTGAATGTCACACTAAGGATTTTGTGGCAGCCACCTGAAACAGGGCAGGCAGCAGTTCGGTTTCTAGCCTACCTGTTCAGCTTCTGCCTGTAAGAACACCGGCCTGTTTTGCCCTCCCACAGACACCGCAGCTCCACAGCGCAGTCACTGTCAACCCTCTGCCTGCCTGAGGTTACTGTTGTGACAACAGGCCATCCCAGGGCTGGTTCAGAAAAGAGGATATGGTCAATTCAGGCAACCTCAGAGGAAGAACCACTAGTCCCGGAGCAGAACGTGACAGGGGACGCATGGCCGGGCTTTGCTGACAGGCGAGGAGCACGTGTGTGCCAAGAGGCCCAGCAAGGTGGGGCGATGCCTACCTGCACTGTGAAGGCTACCTAAGATTAGAGTGGGTGGGAGCCGGATTCCCAGCAGCGCTGGGGCACGCAGGGTTATGGCGGCAGGTTGGGGCAGATTGTTTCCAGAAGCTCAGCCAGTTTCTCCAGCCTGACACCGTGCCCCCAAGCAATCCCAAACTCACCGGCTGCCTCCTGAAAACTCACATTCCTCCTCAGAGTTGCCCTGCAAAAGGGAGGCTGATGGAGGAAACTCAACGCCAAGCCATTTGCAAGGCTCGGTGTCCCTGCTGGTGGTGGGTACCTCCTGCTTTCACCGCGGCATCCACAGCAAGCAAGCTGGAAGCAAATGCACGAAGCGACCTGGTCCAGGGCTCTGCATGTTTCGGCGCGGCTGACGTTGGCAGCTGGGAACGTCCCTGTGCCAGGCAGGCCTCGGGTCCTCGGGAAGTGGGAATGCCCACCTCTCGCAGGGCGAAGCCCCCCCACGCCCAGCTGCCAGCGCCGTGCCTCCTCCCTGACAGGCACCGCTCCCGGCTGGGTGTGGGGCAGCCCCAGTAGGCTAGCTGGAGGCTGGACCTAGCTCACCCCCGGGCTCTCCTCGGCCTTAAACCACACGACTCTGCTCCCCCTGACCCTGACCGGTCACCAAGCCCGGGTCAGAAAGTCACTCCCTGAAACGCAGCATCCTCCACG